ATGGTACAGGACTAGGCAGTATTTTGTCTACTGTGCATTGGTTCACCATGTGTCAGGGGCTGGCTTGACTCCAGCTAACAACAAAACTTATACACAGTCAACCAGTATTTACTAAGTGGCTACTTTGTGCTATGTGCTGATTAATGTATAGCACAAAGGTGTAATACAGCTCAGAAGAAATGTCTGGATTAAGGATTAAGGGATTACAAGAGCAGATCTGATCTTGGTTCTGAAATACAAGCAAAATAAAAATACACATAGGAGGATGTAGAGAGGGGATGAGCATTTTAGGTAAAGAGTTCAGCATATTCAAAGGCACAGAGATGGAGAAGAAAACATCACATTTCAGGATGGCACATAAAATGCTACATAATCTGGCAGCTGTGCATCCCTCACTTGAAATCTTGCTACTTCTTGCCTCATACTCAACCAAATCCACTGTTGTCAATTCCGACTCATAGCGACCCCATAAAGGCTTCCAAGGCTGTAAATCTTTACAGAAGCAGACTGCCACATCTTTCTCTTGAGGAATCACTGGTGTGTTCAAACTGTCAACCTTTTAGTTAGCAGCCGAGCGCTTTAACCACTGTGCCACCAGGGCTCCTCCTTATATTCTTGCCTCATATGTTTATCTTCTATGTACTTGCCTGTGAAATCTATTTATAAGTGCCCTTCACTACTGTCTTCCTAACGTCTTTATACAGGTTTTCTTCACTCAACTATGGACTCCTTGGGGACAGTAGTGAACAAAAAAGACATGGTAATTTAAGGAAGGAACAGCAGAAGATGGGTCTGGAAGAGCAGACTGAGAACCTTCCAAAAGGTTGAAAGTTTGAGTTTACCCAGAGGTTCCTCAGAAGAAAGGCCTGGAAATCAACTTCAAGACAGAAAAATGAGGTACTGAAAACCCTATGGAACACAGTTCTACTCTGACACACATGGGATCTCAATGACTGGGATTTGAGTTGACAGTAACTTTGAATATGAAATGGGAAAACCTGAAAGCGAGGCTTGGCAAAACAAAGATTGCTGATGTTCTTTATGAAAAGTATACGAGGATACCTCCTCCAACATGGTTGACTACAAAACAAAACAAAAACAAAAGGAAGGGAAATTCTTTGCGCCCAGATACAAATTGAAAAATTGAAGAGCAGAGAGCAGGAACTGACACCATGGCAGCCCTCCAACATTTTATATTTGATTACAGGCCTCGGGGGCCAGGATCTGGTGTTTTAATGCTTAAGCACAGGGCCTTGAGCTTCTGTGAGGGAGAGAAGCTGGAACTTGGCCTTCAAATAAAACCAGGAGCCAGCCACTGGGACTGGAAAAACTCCACCTACTAGTCTAAAGGAAGGGGCAAGGAAGTGTGCTCTTTTCGGGGGCTTTGGGTAGGGGGGAAAAAACTAAAAGGCACCTGTGAGAAATCAAAGCCCAAGGCCTGCAACAGACCTAAATTCACAATATCTGCATAATTTAGTAACCATCAGCTGAGAAACTATCATTTAAAAATGCTCCAGGATCTTTAAGAGCCAAAGAACCCTAGCAGAAGCAAATACATAACTGCTCTGGAGGAACTTTTTCACAACTCAGGGCATAAGAGACTCCCATAAACAAAACAACCTTACTGAAAAAGAGCACCACGTGAGGACGTAAATCACTATGAGTGAAAGTCAGCAAATGTTGTAAACAGGAGAATCAGCAACTCTAAAACTAGAAACAATAGAACTATCTGAAAGAAAAGATTAAAAAGATAGCGTGATAAAGAGCTAAAATAAAAGAAAGCATAATGAAGCAGGCAGATTTAACAAAGAACCAAGCAGAACATCTAGTATGGAAAATAACATTGTCATTGACATGAAAATGGGTCTAATCAGATCCCATATGTGAGTAAATATATTCACCTACTTTTCTCTTCCCCATTTTAAATTACCCTCAGCTGTGCTTTTTTCCCAAGTTCATCAGGCAGGTTATGCTCAGTGCACCACAATTCAAATACTAAAAAACCAAAACCCAAACCCATTGCCATCCAGTTGATTCCAACTGATACGACCTTATAAGACAGAGTTGAACAGCCCCATAAGGTTTCTAAGGCTGTAACGTTTACAGAAGCGGATAGCCACATCTTTCTCCCACAGAGCAGCTGGCAGGTTCAAACTGCAGACCTTTCAGTTAGCAGCGGAATGCTTAACCACTGCACCATCAGGGCTCTTTGTGTTTAAATAATACAGTGGTAAAAATATTCAAAATGTACTGCTCCTCAATACAATTTTACAAGTCTTGTCATTATCAATTCATTCCCTTGAACCCAAAATTAACCTCTCAACAAAATGAATCACCCTTTATTTCTGCAGTGAAGGTAAAGTAATTTCATTTCTGCTTCTGTCCTAAGCTTGGGGTGGGGGAGGTAGGGGGGTGGAATTCACTCAGGTCCCTTTCACCTAGGTTGTGCTTTATTATACATGTATGTGTTCTCACTGATGCTGCTGCTACCTTCCACATAAGGACTAAGACTCCTCTAACTTGCGAGATTCCTGCTTGGTTTAGCCACTGCCTGCCAGTGTCAAAGCTTTCAAAAGATTTTGAGCCATGGTGATGAAACAGCAACAGTGCCCTATATATTCTACATCTACCTTACCATCTGTTTCCAGCCCTTCTCTCTCCAAATTAGGGGTATTTGTGGCTTTAGCCTTCGTCTTCTTCACTTCCCTATGGAGTCTGAATTTTAAGTCAGCCATCAGTGAATTCCTTAAGTCTATCTGTGCTATATTTAACAGAAATTCCTTAGCGTTTGTGGCATGCACTAAACTAAAAATGATACAGATCTCTCCCTTTATAAGCAGTTTTTGTTTTAATAGATTTTAATAAGGAATAATTAGATGTGTATATGCTTACAACCACCCAGAAGTGTATGTGCATTAAAGTTTTCATCCATTTGATTTAATTATATTGCTGGTTATTTATCTGTTAAAGTTAGTGCAGGGATAATAATGTCTGTCTTAACACTTATATTTTCACTTCATGGAATAGTTTACTTCACAATTTGAGCTGTTGGCAAATTAACATTCTTTAATCACAAAGTGATGAAGGGAAGGGGACATAGCTGAAAGTAAATATATAAGATTCAACAGAATCAATACACTCGAATAACTGGAAAGTAGGGGGTGCAGGAATCATGGTAAACAAAAATGCTTAATTAAATTGATGTTAGGTTCACTACATATGATTGATCTCACAGAAGGGGGTAGCATATTAGAGTAAATAAATGAATTCTTTCTTAAAAAATCAAACCACAAAACTTATTTTACTCTCTTAAGTAGACAAAGTATTTCAAAACATGAGCCCGTTCTTGGTAGTTTAAGATTGGTGTGGATGACTGCAAAGCCATTTTGAGACGAAAAAAGCAACTTTAAATATATACCCTAAAGGAACATATTGGTCACACCTTTTTATACCTCACCTAGGATAGCACCATACCCATCTTGGAGCTAAGCTACCAACTCATAAGTATTAACATGCTCAATTGTGAGCAAACTAGACTTTTTTTTTTTAAATAACAATACCCATTGCCGTGGAGTCCAGTCCAAGTTACACCCACCCTGCAAGACAGAGTACAACTGCCCCTAGGGTTTCCAAGGCTGTAAATCTTTATGGAAGCAGACTGCCACGTCTTTCTTGGGGAGAATCGGGTGGGTTCCAACCATCGACCTTTCGGTTAGCAGCCCAGCGCTTAACCACTGCGCAACCAGGGCTTCTTAAAAAACAACACTCACAGCTACTGACAGTGCTGGATTCTGTACATGTACGGATAAACAAAACCAAAAAAACCTCATTGTCCTGTCAAGTCGATTCCGACTCATACTACTATAAGAGTACTCGCTCAGGAGCCAGACAGCCTGGGAAATCCTGTCTTCTCCACCCACTTACTACTTGGACAAGTTGCTTAAACGTTCTGTGACTCAGCTTACCTATTTGTAAAATAAAATCACTACGACGGATTTTATAAGGTTGCTACGAGAATATTAAGCACTTGGTACACAGCCTGGCACTGAAAACTCAATAAATATTCGCCATAGTAAAGAGTTACCAGAATAATTCCCTGAAATCCCACAAGAAAGTTCTGCCACAGTACATTTTATCATTACATACAGTTTTTCAACGCATGGCGAACACCTGCTTGTCAAGCAAGGTTCTTCTGTTGACTACTAAGGTCAAGAACCTACTTGCCCGCCCCACAGCTTCTTCTCTGGGCCCCACAACAGCTACAGACTACCACTATCATTGCCTCTTCCGGACGTGAAAACAGACGTAGAAGCCCGCCCCGTCAGAAGCCGACGAGAGGCGGAGCCAGAACGCGACCCAGAGTTCTCAGAAGCCCCGCGCCTTCACGATCCCAACAAAGTGCATCTTCCATTTCTGAGACATCTGGGCCAACCCAGACAGATTTTGACGCTTCTAAGACAGAGCGAAAGCACCCAGGGGAAACCTTCACATCTCCCAGCCGCCCAACCTCTGCGCGCTGAGACAAGAGCAGCTACCCCCAAGCCTCCCGCCAGGCCCTCGAGGAGGTGGGGCTTCCAGGACAAGGCCCGCGGCAAGGCGGGGCCTGAGGCGCGGGGGGGGGGGGGCTGACGAAGCTCGAGGCCCCAAGGCTGAGGCCTGGGTCTGCCCGAGGTGTGCCGGACGACTATATCATCACATGCCACTTCCTTAGTCGCCAGTACCGCGCCGCCGCATACCCGCAGCCGTCATTACCAGAACTTTCTTTCCCATCTCCCTGTCATTTTGTTCACTCGATTGTAGGAAAAAGATGGAACCAGGAAATCAGGCAACTTCTAGGCGCCAACAGAGGAAATAGGCTGTGGAGGTGGGGTCCTTTGCTCGCGCCGAAATTCAAAGGAATAAATAGTTCCGGCAGCCGCGCTCGGCGCAGCGCAGATGTTATAGCTAATATGGTAGAGTTCGCTTCCTAGCGCCCGAAGCGGGCAGATTTGGTCCGAACTCCGCCCTTCTGACCTGGAGGGGACCTCTGGGCGCCTCTAACCCAGGAGGCCAAGGCTGAGACGAGGCGGGTGCATGCGCGCGGCCGGTGGGGCCTGGCGTTCCTGGCGGGAGATGGGCCGGGGGGCGGGGAAATGAGTAGCAAGGAGAAGGGTCTCAGATGGGAATTAGGCTGGAAGGCTTATTTCTGTGCAGCCTTGGAGTGGAGTGAGAAGTGTTGACAGAAAGGCCTGGTGAGGCGAGGTAACAGCCTGAGTAAAGAGTCTAGCAAATATATGGAGTTCATCTAATATTTACTGATCGCCTCTAAGTCACTATTCGTGGATACAGCTGTGGACGTAAACGAAAATCCTACGGAAACTTACATTGTAATGGGCGGGACAGACAAATACGGTTTAGTATCATCCTTAAGAGCAATGAAGAAAAAGAAAACAGTGAGAGGGTGGGCAGAAATGCAGTTTTACATGGGGAGGTCAGGAAGAACCTTTGAGTAAAGATGCGAGTGCAGTAGAATGTGCCATGCCAGTGTTGTTGGGTGGGGGGTGGGGGGGCACTTCGTGAGCAAAGGGAATGCGATGTGAAATCGGTAGTCTAGTTTAGGTAGAATATGATAAAGGTGGAAGGCGGGCCTGGAAAAGTAGATAGGGGAAGTACTAAGGGCTTTGGGTTCCCAGCGGAATCGTTAACCAGATCGTGGTTAATTCTACCATGATTTTAAATAGGGGAAAGATAACTTTACATCAGAGGAGGTAGCTTGGCAAGTGGCTGTTTTCTTTTGGGCTGTCATTCCTATGTTTTAGTCTTTCAAATTAAGTATGAGTCCCGGTTTACATTCCACTTATATTTTGTTATTTCTATTTTGTACAGAACTGGTTTGTGGCCTGTTTGATCCTAGCAGAGGTGTACCGGTCCAAGGCAGTAGTGAAAATGCATATTAAGTCAATAATTCTGGAGGGATTCAAGTCCTATGCTCAGAGGACTGAAGTCAATGGTTTTGACCCCCTCTTCAATGCTATCACTGGTTTAAATGGTAGTGGAAAATCCAACATACTGGACTCTATTTGCTTTTTGCTGGGCATCTCCAACCTGTCTCAGGTAAAGTGTAAACTTTCTGATTTATGTGAATTTAAGTTTGGCAAGGAAGTCTTCATGGAACTTAGAGACTATTACTATTATTTTTTTCTTTTTTTGCTTTAATATTTAAGTACTGTGTTTTGTACTTTATGTGAATTGTTTTACACCTCATTGCAACCCTTTAAAATAAGTAGTACTTTTATTACTCCATTTTTTCAGAAGAGAAAATAGAAACTTAGTAGGTTAAGAAACTTGCCTAAGGTTCATCCTCTTAATGACATTCTGGAGCAACACTCAAACACTCAGGCATTCTTACTTTAGGCAATCTCATTCTAGAATCTTATTTTTTCTGCTGCACTGTAATGCCTTTAGAGGACCTGCTACTAATGGGAGTGGATGATGAAGTCCTAGAGAGAAAGGTGCCCATTGTAGGTTGCCTGTTTTGTTTGCCAGTAGATGCAACTACTTATCCTTGATTACTTAATGAATACAATATAGATGGGTTTTCCAAAACCAAGAAGTATATCGTTAGTGCTACTTTGTGTGATACGGGGTTTTGTAATTGATAACTTTTTTTCTGTTTTAGGTTCGGGCTTCTAATTTACAAGATTTAGTTTACAAGAACGGGCAGGCTGGTATCACCAAAGCCTCAGTGTCAGTCACGTTTGATAATTCTGACAAAAAGCAAAGCCCTTTAGGATTTGAGGTACATGATGAAATCACAATAACAAGGCAGGTGAGTGACTACTAAAATTTGATACCCTTCTTGGCAATATGGCTTTACAAAACGTGCGGGAGATAAAGAAAATTTCTGAGCAAAATTGACCTCAGATACTGGCTCATTCCTCAAGAGTACCTTTTTTGTATCAAAATTTTGATCTTGCAAGTTCTGCAATTAACTGAGAGGATTGAAAGGGATCTGAAGTTACCCATTCAGTAACAAGCACTCAACCATACTTGAATCTTGACCCATACTTGAACCTTCTCCATCTGTGCTAGAATACCTCCAGTACTTGGGATCTTGCTGTCCTCTGAGGTAACCCATTCCATTTAGACAGTGTAATTAAAATAGGGTTTTATAAATTGGCCATAGTCTGCTTTCTTTCTTTCTTTTAATTAATTAATTAATTTTTAATTTATTGTTTATTTATTTATTTTTATTGTACTTCAGGTGAAGGCTTACAGAACAAATAGTTTCTCATGAAACAGAAGTACACATGTTGTTTTATAACAT